TTTTTTTTGGTTATGTTTGAGGTTCTTTGAACTATTCGTGTATGCCGGCCCCTCCACCAGTGCCACCAAATCCACACAACTTATCCTACTTTGATCGTAAGTAATTTTCCTAACCCAAAGCCTTATATATGGTGTTTAATTTAATGTAATTATTTTCATTTATATTTGACCAAGATTATTGTTCCTGAAATAAATATATCCTTCAATAATATCATAATTAATTTGAAATATATAAAAAAATATCAAATACTTATAAAATAAAATTCTTTTTTTTTTTTGGTTTATTTTGTTAGCTTGCTATTGGGTGTACTGTGGAGCAGGAAGTTGCACAAGGAATGCAACACATACGCACACGTGTCAATGCAATCCAGGCTACTCTAATCTTCTCAATATCTCTGCCTTCCCATGCTACAATGACTGTAAGATTATCTCTAAATAATTAATAAGTTAATATACAAAAAGAGTCTATCTTTCAAAAATTAAATTTAAGTTTTGATACAAAATTCAAGATTTTGTACTTTAATCAACTTCAACGGTAGTGTTTTTGTAATATATTGTCATCTATAATAGTTATACAACGTTTGCGGGTTCAGTTCAACTCATTAAAAACTCGAGTTTGGTTCGACTCGTTTATCGCTCGAGCTTTTGTAGCTAACAAGCCGAGTTTGTTAGGCTCGAGAAGTAGGAGTTTTCGCATAATTTTTTTTAACTACGTACTACTTGAGCTTCACTCGTTAAACAAATTTGAGTTGTTTGTGGGTTCGGTTCGGTTCATTAAAATTCGAAGTTTGGTTTGACTCAATTACCGCTCGAGCTTGTTTAGTCAATGAGTCGTGCTTGCTGGACTTGAGAAATAAGAGTTTTTCACATAATTAAATTATGTTCTATTAAAGCTTGGCTGAACTTAATAAAGGCTCAAGGTCAAGATCGAGTATCAAGAGTTTGAGCTCGGCTTGGTTACGATTCTCGTTGCAATTCTTATAGGTGCTGTTAATTCAAACTCTTGTGGGCGACTTGGAATAGTTCAGGGCAGGTCTACTTCAAATACGAACCCGGCAAGTGAGAATAATCAAGGTGGGGGCTTGTAGTTA